CGCGCGTTTCGCGGCCCCGTGGGGGGCCCGACCGAAGGCTCCAGCGGTTGTGTTCGCATGCGCCCGCCGTGCCCATGTCGGCGCACCCTTTGCGCCTTTCGCGGCCCCGGAGGGAGCTCCATCGAAGGCCCCAGTGGCTGCGTTCGCAAGTGTCCGCCGCGCCCGTGTCGGCGCGCCCATCATTCGACTCGTGGCCCCAGAGGCAGCTCCACCGAAGGCTCCAGTGGCTGCGTTCGCACGCGCCCGCCGCGCCCAATTCGGCGCGCCCCGTCGCGCGTTTCGTGGCCCCATGGGGAGCTCCACCGAAGGCCCCAGTGGCTGCGTTCGCATGCGCCCTCCGCGCCCGTATCGGCGTGCCCCTCGCGCGTTTCGTAGCCCCATTGGCAGCTCCACCGAAGGCTCGAGTGGCTGCGTTCGCGCGCGCCCGCCGCTCCAATTTTGGCGCGCCCCTCGCGCGCTTCGTGGCCCCATGGGGAGCTCCACCGAAGGCCCCAATGGCTGCGTTCGCGCGCGCCCGTCGCGCCCGCATCGGCACGCCATTCGCGCGTTTTGTGGCCTCTGTTTCGTGGCCCTCGTAGGGGCGCCACCGGAGGCCCTGCGGTCTGCGTCTGCATGCGCTGATCGCGCCCATTTCAATGCATTCCTCGTGCGTTTCGTGGCCCCATAGGGAGTTCCACCGAAAGTTCCAGCGGTTGCGTTCGCATGCGGCTGCCGCGCACATATCGGCGCCCGCCCGCGCGTTTCGTGTCCCGAAGGGAGGCCCCATCGACGGCCCCTCCACGCGCCCGCCGCGCCCTTCTGGGCGCGCCCCTCGCGCGTTCCGTGGCCCCGTAGAGAGCTCCTCCGAAGGCCTCAGTGGCTGCGTTCACATGCGCCCGCCGAATCAGTGTCGGTGCGCCCCTCGCGCGGTGTGTGGCCCCATAAGGAGCTCGACCGAAAACTTCAGTGGCTGCAGCTTTGGGGCCTTCGGTGGGGCGGGGCCGCGAAACGCGTGTTGGGTGCGCCGGAATGGGCGCGGCGTGCGCGTGCGAGCGCAGCCGCTGGGGGCTTCGGCGGAGCCCCCAATGGGGCCGCGCAGCGTGTGGGGGGCGTGCCGACCGACATGGGTGCGCGGGCGCGTGCGAACGCAGCAGCTTGGGCCTTCGGTGGGGCCCCCCTATGAGGCCGCGGAGCGTGTGGGGTGTGGGCAGACATGAGCGCGGCGGGCGGGCGAGGACGCAGCCCTGCGGTTGAGCTCCCTATGGGGCCGCGAAGCGCGCGAGGGGGGCGTTGATTTTTTGGGCTGGCGCTGATGGCAGAGGCGCGCGAGGGGGGGGCAGGGGGGGGGGGAGGAACGCAGGGCGCTGTCTCTTCGCAGCGGGGGCCAGCGCCGCAATATTGTTGGGGAATAATCCTTGCGAAAGGCCCAGGCGCATGCAGGTGTGACTACCGTTGTTGCGGGTGTCGCCTTGGGGGGGCGTCCTCAGGGGGCCGTGGGGCATGCGAAGGGTGCGCCGACGTGGGCCGGGGCCGCCATGTGGTCGCTGCCACTGGGGCTTTGGGTGGGGCCCACTGTGGCGCCGCGAAGCGTGCGAAGGGTGCGTCGCAATGGAGCGGGGCCGCCGCTGGGGCCTTCGGTGGGGCTTCCTATTGGGCCGCGAAGTGCTGTGCTGAATGGGGGTAACGCATGCGAGCGCCGCCGCCGGTGCCTTAGGCGGAGCCCCCTATGGGGTGGGGGCGGCGCGTGCGAAAGCCGCCGCCGATGGGGCCCCCCACGGGGCCGTGCAGCGCTGTGCTGGGCGCGGGAGACGCATGCGAACATCGCCGCTGAGGCCTTCGGTGGAGCTCCCTGCGGGGCCACGAAGCGCTGCGCTGGGCAGGGGAACTGCATGCGAAAGCCGCCGCTGTGGCCTTCGGTGAAACTCTGTGCCGGGCGGGGGGGGCGCGTTGGAACGCCGCCGCTAATGCCTTCGGTGGGGCTCCCTGTGAGGTCGCGACGCATGCGGGCGGTGCCGCTGTGGCCTTAGGTGGGGCTCCCTATGTGGCCGTGAAGCGCTCTACTGGGTGGGGGTGGCGCATGCGGGCGGTGCTGCAGAGGCATTCGTTGAAGCTCTTTATGGGGCCACGAAGCGCTGTGCTGGGTGGGGGTGACGCACGCGGACGGTGTCACTGGGGCCTTCGGAGGATCTCCCTGTTGGGTCGCTGAACGGTGTGCTGGGCGGGGGTGCGCATGCGGGCGGTGCCAATGGGGGGTGTGGAGCTCCCTATGGGGCAGCGAAATGCTGTGCTGGGTGTGGGTGCCGTATTCGGGCGGTGCCGCTGGGGCCTTCGGTGGAACTCCCTATGTGGCCACGAAGCGCTGTGCTGGGTCGGGGTGACGCATGCGGGCGGTGTCAATGGGGCCTTCGGTGGAGCTCCCCAGTGGGGCTACGGAACGCGGTGCTGGGTGGGGGTGTGGGTGGCGCGTGCGGGCGGTGCCGCTGGGGCCTTCGGTGGGCCCCCCAATGGGGCCACGAGGCGCTGTGCTGTCTGGGGGTAGCGCGTGCGGGCGGTGCAGCGGGGGGGAGGGGGGGGGGGGGATTTAAACAATGAAGGAACGAGTGAGTGACGCGGGGCACTGTCTCTTCAACGCGAGGACCCAATGCCGCAACATGCATTGGGCAAACACTCAATACTGCCCGGGAAGATGGCTGGGGGACTGCGTGGCGAGGGTCGCAATCTCATTGCTGGGCGAGGCGGGCGAAAAAGCTCGCAGCCCAGAGTCCGACGCGCATGGGGATCCTTGGAAGCCAGCCGAGCCTTGTGGGTACATTCGGGTTGCGAACCAATGTGCTTTCCCAATCGCACAACAACAAACGCGCAAGTGGCGCTGCAACTGCGACGAACGCAATGGATCTGTATCTGGCGAGACAAAATCACACCATTTCCTTGCATCCTGTCTTGAATCGTGTTGGAGGCCCGTGTCGGAACGATCAAACGTAATGCCACCCTCTACGTGGATTGCATTCAGCAGGCCATTTCCTTTTAGGCGTCGGTCTGCAAGCTCATGGGAGTAGCTTTTTCAACAGCGGAAAGCACCTGCGGATTCAGGGCGTTGACGAGGGAACACAGCGCGCATTCTGCACGGTGCAGAATAGTGTATCAGGGGGCGCCTTGACTGCGCAGTCCAAGGCAGTCTTGATATTTCGATGTCAGGGGCAGATTCGCCAGACAGAGTAAGCAGGCACATCGCCTACAATTATTGTGGGACCTCAGAAGAAGGCTCGGTTTGACAGGCATATGGCGGAATCGTGGTTCGACAGTGTGTGGCGTCCTCGCGTCGAATCCATGCCTCTCAGATGTCAGATCGCAACGACACTATTGGCCACAGACAATATAGATGAATACTCAACGACAATATGTCGCGATTCTTTGACAGAGATGCAGACGCCAGCACATGTCGGAAAACCTGGGCAACACACGCGCATATGGCAAATGGTGGGCCGGTGGGTTGGATCAAGTCTTCAGGACCTCATGTCGCGCATCCAAGACGAAGGGCTCGCTCAAAAGAACACCGCGCAATAATGGTATCATATGTTCGCCTCAAACAAAATATTGCACATAGTGAGGATTGCTGCCTTGGCCGGGTGTCGCTGGTTAAATGCCTATGCGGATTCCCAAGCTGAAGCCGCCGCAAGGTCTGGATTGACTATTCTACTTGACCAGGAAGGTGCAGGCCCAGTTGCTATAGAGGGCGTTCAGGAATATAGCATTCCGAAATACACTTGGACTCCTAGTGATCATGAGCTGTTCGCTAACTGACGCGAAATAGCGCGTCAAGGTGATAAAGAGGAAAGCTCCGAAGAGGCGGCCATGTCAAGTTCATCTGCGAGCGAAATGCGGAGAACCCGCTCCGCCATCTGAGCCCGATCGTCAGCGCACGACGACAACTGTCCTCGCAACGCTGCCTAGCGACGAGGAATCAGACTAAGACCAGTTCGACGCATCGGTAGTTCCACCTCCGCCTGCAGTTGACGATCCTGGAACCCGCGATGTAATTAGAAGGTCTAAAACATGACGCCAGAACTCGGAAAGTGATGGGCCACGCCGTACGTCATTGCAGAAACTTTTGGCGGCATAACCTTTGATTTGTCGGGAAAACGATTACGCGGGATACGTTGCGCTCTGTGTTGTCTGATGTTTTGTGTCCATGGGCGATTTCAATGTCTACTTTCATCAAGCTTCGTTTGAATTTATGATGTGCAGCTTCATGGTGCTCTCAGCTTTCCTTGGGCGAATCAAACGGTACTTATGATGATGGGTGAGTGAAACTGAACAACAAAACGCATACATGTTATTCCGAAGCAAAGCTACATACATAAATACATAAAGTAACACAGCAGAAGCGAACATGGTTGTTTTAGGGAAGCTGTTGAGGGGCGGCGCCGTCGAACAAACAACTTAGCGTATTATCTTTTGTTTAAAGCCCAAGGTTCCGTAGATTTCCAGACCCACAGCACTTGTTAAGAAAACGAAGTTTACAGAGTTTCTTTATAATTCCGAATAGCGCCCAGCGCATCACAGAGCGCCTGCTGAGGGCTCAAGCTCGGGCCTCCATCAGTGGACAGCGTATCTGCTCATCGAAACTATCCTGGGTGCGTTAGGAACTAAACGTGCTGATCGCTTCTTTCAATGGAAGGGGAGGAGGAGGAGGACTAGGATGATGATGATGATGATGATGATGATGATGAGGAGGAGGAGGAGGAGGAGGAGGAGGAGGAGGAGGAGGAGGAGGAGGAGGAGGAGGAGGAGCAGGAGGAGGAGGAAGGAGGAGGAGGAGAGAGGAAGGAGGAGGAGGCGGAGGAGGAGGCGGATGCGGAGGCGGAGGAGGAGGAGGAGGAGAAGGAGGAGAAGGAGGAGGAGGAGGAAAAGGAGGAGGCGGAGGAGGACGACTGCGACGACGCCGCGGCTAGCGCCGCTGCCTCCGACCTCTGCGCCGCTGCCTGGGCCACCGGATGGCCGAAACGAGTTGGGGGCCGCGCTGAGGTCGGGTGCGTGGCCCGCGAGCGTCACGGGCTTCAGCTGCTTGTTGAGCCGGTACACCAGCGGCACGCCTGCCGCGGTTGTGGCTTCGCCGCCATGGTTGCTGTGGCCGTCGCGGTCATCGTTTTCGTTGTAATCGCCGCGGCTCCCAGGGTTCCTCCCCCCCTCCTCCTCCCCGTCGCTTCCTCCTCTGCAGTTACACAATATGAATACTACTCTCCTCTCTCCCCTGATGGCGTCTGGGAAATGGCCGGTCCCCCTCCGCGTATGGGGTTTTCTACACACGAGATTCCCAGGACACGGGTTTTCGGTTGGTATTTTTTTGAGATGCTGCTCTCGCTGACGCACCAGTCTCATTTTCGGGCTATCGCTCGTTCCGAATTGTGCTCCCACTGCAGCGCTGGCCTCATTTCCTCGCTTCTGGTCGTTCCGAATCGTGCTCCCGCTGTAGCGCTGGCGTCATTATTTCCAGCGCCATGCCACGGAAAGGTTTTCGATCCTTCCAGACAGGCCCCCAAATCCGAAAAATGCCCCCCCCCTCACCCGAAAAAAACACCCGAAGTGATTGCACATTCGATGCCGACTCGTTGATTGTCTGCGCCGCAGAAGCCCCCCCCCGCTTTGGGGCGTCGCCTCGCCATGCTATGTCAGGCTACGCGTCCTCGTTTCCGCGCTTCCTTATTCATGCCAAATGCTGCTCTCGCTGAAGCGGTGGCCTTATTTTCGGGCTACCGCTCGTTCCGAATTATGCTCCCGATGCAACTCTGGCCTGATTTCCGCGCTTCCGCTCGTTCCGAATCGTGCTCCCGCTGCAGCGCTGGCATCATAATTTCCAGCGCCATGCCACGGCATGGTTTTCGATCCTTCCAAGCAAGCCCCACCATCTAGAAAATACCCCCACGAAAAAACCATCCGAAGTGATTACACATTCGGTGCCGATTCGTTGATTTTCTGCGCCGCAGAAGCCCCCCCCTGGCTTTGGGGCGTCGCCACACGATGCTATGTCAGGCTACGCGTCCTCATTTCCGCGCTTCCGCGCTAGGTTTATTTCGAAATGCTGCTCTCGCTGAAGCGCCAGTCTCATTTTCGGGCTACCGCTCATTCCAAATCGTGTTCCCGCTGCAGCGCTGGCCTCATTTCCGCGCTTCCGCTCGTTCCGAATCGTGCTCCCGCTGCAGCGCTGGCGTCATTATTTCCAGCGCCATGCCACGGCATGGTTTTCGATCCTTCCAAATAAGCCACAACATCTAGATATCAGCCAGTGTTGACTCCAAATAGATAGGAGGACAGGGGGAGGACGAGAGGAGGATGGGAGGAAGACGACAGGAGGACGGGAGGAGCAACATCAAGCAAGCGCAAGCAAGAACCAGCGATTAAGTGCAAGCAAGCAAGGGCAATCAAGAGCAAGCAAGCGAGAGCAAGCACGCAAGAGCAAGCAAGCACGTGTCATTGGAAAAAGGGGTGGTGCAATTGGAAAAAGGGGGGCGTGCCATTGGAAAAAAGGTGGGTCCTAAAGACCAAGTGCTTATGATGAGCTAGGACTCCTATAGGGCAAGCCTATTTGGAGAAAACTGCCCCCCCCTCCGAAAAAAAACATCGGAAGTGATTACTCTTTCGGTGTCGATTCTTTGATTGTTGGGCCGCAGAATCCCTCCCTCATTTTGGGGCGTCGCCACGCCATACTATGTCATGCTCCGTGCTAATTTTCAACACCACGCTATGCCATGTTAATGCTATGCCACGCTACGACATCCGATTGTGCGAATAGGGAGGAGATCTGCGCCATGGTAAAGGATGGGGGGAGGGGTAGGACGCCAGATATGACGCGAGCGCACCTAGCCTGTCAGTCCCCCTCCTCCTCTTCCTCCTCCTCCTTTTCCTTTTCCTTTTCCTCCTCCTCCTCCTCCTTCAGCCGTTTTGGCCCAGGACGATTTCTGGGCCTGCGACTGCGAACTTCAAAACGGCGCTGCAGTCGCGAATCATTGTTGCTCCGGTGCACACCCGAACCATTCCGCAATCATGTCGGGGCCTTGGGCCCAAAGTAAGGCACCCTACCGTCCGACCTTTTGGACATGTCGGGCGTGCGGCTGCGGGAAGAACAACATGGAGTGGTGGTGGTGCAAGCACTGCAAGTCAGGCTTCGTCTCTGAGGGCGGTTCGCTTTTTCTGATCGCGATGGTCATGGTGAGTCTCAAGCTTGGTCTGTGCAGCTTCCAATTCCTGTTGGACCCGTTGGGCGCTCCAGCGGGTGGCCTACACTCCCTTCGCGTGATAAGATCAACACCGACGGCCTCGCGATGGACAAACTCTCTTCATTGCAGGCGATCGCCACGAAACAAGGGCAGTCCGAGCTGGCAAAGTCGTACGAGGTCGCCAAACGAGTTCTGCAAGCCAACCTGGTGCCCAAGCCAGAGGCCAGCTTGCGGACCCGTGCTTCGCAGGCCCAGTCTAAGATTAAGCAGCTGGAGAAGCGCCTGCGCAAGGAGCTGGACAAGCTCGACCGCTGGCAGGAAAAAACTCAGGAGCTCCAGGACTGTATTCGTGCGCTGCCGTCCGAGTTGGACGAGAACGAAACGAAGTGCAAAGATCTCGTGGGTCAGATCAGGGACGAAGTCGCTCGCGAGCCTGCTGCTGAGCAGGCCAATCCACCAGCCATCAGTCTCAAGGCCCTCGTGGAGGGCGACGAGCTCAACCTTCAGTTCCATGCTGACCTGTTCGCGGGCTTGGACGAGTACGACCTCGCGGCCGAGGACCAGTCGCAGCTCGCTGACAGGAAGAAGTTGCTGCAGACGGGCTATCGGGACATGGCCAAGAAACTCTTGGGCGAGGCGGCGTCGAAGCTCCAGAAAGCCAGGGAGGAACATCAGCAACACCTCGCTCGGATGCCCAAAAAGAGGAGGCGCGCCGCGGATGGCGTCGACGCAGCAGGTGCGCCGGTCTCCCGCGCTGTGGCAGCGGGAAGCGCCGAGGGCGAGGCCGCAAGCCAAGCCGCTGGCCCCGCAGGCAATGCGCGAGGAGCTGCTGCAGGCTCGGAGGTCAACGTTGCGCCGCCTTCTGGGGCCAATCCTGAGCTTCGCACTCGCCTTCGCCGCGCCTTGGGGGACCAGCCCCCGCAGGGCAACTGGGCTCCCCCGTCCAGGCCCACGGGCGGGGGGTCATGATCACGTAACTCCGATTCAGTTCAAGTCTTCCTCGTACGGGCCTTCAGTAGGCCGAGGGTTTGGTATAAGGGGCCAGGCGATCTCATCTCGTGTCGGTGTGGGCTCCAATTTTGATTTCTTCCAGGTGGCACCGACGCCGTCCCACGATCGTCTCAACCTCATTTTTGAAACCGTGCTGGTTTCAACTTATTTTTTCTGCTCCGAGGGACTCTCGAACAGAAGCGTGGACATCATGAGCGCTATCGGCCGCCTTCAAGATATCCACACAGCCGAAATGCTGATCGCTGGAGATTTCAACATGTGCTCAGATATTCTTCTTTCTAACGGATTCCCCGAGCGACTCTCGGGGCAGCTGCTCGCGCCTGACGGCGACGGCGCGTGCCTTGCCGCTGGAGGGATGAGAACGCTGGCTTTCTCTGCCGCCTCCAAGGGCCCAGCGAGGACGGTCCAGGAAGTCTCTGTCGTGCGCAGATCGTGCATCGCCCCTCACCTGCCAGCACGGCTTGTTCTTCACGAGCGCGCGGCCTCCCTGCAGGCTCTGGTGTTCGACGCGCCCCCTCCCATCCCTGTGGTTCGCCCCATCGGCCCTGCGAGGGAGTCCCCATCCTGGAAACGAGTGGAAGCTTTTGGAAGAGAGGTGTTGTCCAGGCTTGTTCCTGGCCAGTCGACGCAGGGCTTCCCTGGGGCCCTCGCGCATCTGTGCCGCGTGTGGGGTGTGCTCGCCGAGTGCGAAGTCGCTGAGATGGCCCATGCTAAACTCCCTCGATACGGCGCTAGAAGTCGCTTCCCCCCCCCCCCCCGGTTGAAATGGGCCCCCTCCCCCCCGCTCCGCCCCCTCCCCACTGCCGCCATTCTCTGGCCCAGCCAGCTGTCTGGCCGCAGCCTTCGGGCTGCCCTCGCGCTGCGCGGCCTAGCCTGGCGCTGGTGCTCCCGGTGGGGCTCTTCGGTCAAGTCGTCGGTTCCCGCCCAAGTTCGTAGTCGTGGTCCATTTTGTCCACGGCTCTCCAATTTACCATGCACGGGGTCCCGCCCTCCTCCATGCAGCACCAGATTCTGCCGGCCTTGGTGGGCGTTGGCTGTGCTTTGGTGGTAAAGACTTCTTGCCTTGCGCAATTGATCTCTCCTGGTCTTCCGATGACTTCACGTGGGGTGCCTTTGCCTGGTTTTCTTCCTCACCTTGCCCTGGTCGCCCTTCCGGGTGGTTCATTTTCGACCACGCCCACGCATCGTGCCCACAAAGATTTCGACAACGTTCGTTCCTGGACGTCCTGTTCGTGCACGGCGGCACGCGCATGGCGGTCTTCACGGCCCGCGCGTGCCCAGCCCTCCTCTGTCCCCCCCCGCTTCGCTCTCCGCCTATGTCTCAATTAGTGTGCCTGCGTCCCAGCGCATTCGCCAAAGACGGGGGGGGGGCCGGAGACGCCAGCGGCGGATCAGAAGATGCAAGTGGACACGAGCGAAGTGGGCCCGCACCAATGAAGCGTGAACCCCTGCCAATCCGAATCAATAGGCGGCGGGGGCAGGGTCGGATTTCGCCACTTGTCCTCTAGGTCGAGACCTTTGGACGTGCTTTGCCTCTCTTTGGGACCTCCAGAAGCCTCTAGATGGGCCTCCAGCAGGGGACCCCTGGGGACATCCAGAGATACCGGGAACTTCTGGAGACCTCGTCCGCCGAGGAGGCCAGGGGCGGCCTCCCTCGCCCGCGTGGTACCGCAGAGAGCGGCGCCAGCGCGCCGCGGCGCGGCGCCGCCTGCGAGCGGCAGGCGACCTGGACAAGCTGAAGAAGCACCACGGCAGCAGCCCGCCGTCAGCCACAGCAAGCATGGCTCGACGAGGAGGCGCACAGTACACGGTGTGCCGCAGCTGCAACAAGTGGACCTACGACAGCACGTTGGCCAAGAACGGATGGA